GTTTTTACCAGTGCTGCACTGAGAAATAGCTCCTATGATGAGCTCTGCAGAAGCCCAGTTTCACCAGGTGTTTGCTAATTGCTGTTGGCTAGTCTTAAGGAGCTGAGTGGGGGAGTTCTGGGAGAGGACTGCTCTTGAGGTGGAAGCTTGGAAACTGCAGCTCAGAGGAGGACTTTTGTCCTCAAAGGCCGTGCTAGGTCCACCCAGACAACTTACACAGCTGAATGGTTACCATGGAGATTAAAGGCTTTCTCAACTACACATGAAAGAATCAAGGCAACACTCCAGGTATGTTTTTGATGAGCAAATCACATTATAATATGATGTAAAGCTAAAAAAAATTGGATTTTGCATAATAATGTCCCTTCAATTTTCTCCTTTGCATGCCTTTTCACCAAACGCTTCACACACCAAATTTGCATGAAGCGTGAACTATTATTCTTTGAAATGTCCAATATTATAACTGTGCCAGAAACAGATGTTAACATAAAAAAATAAAAAATAAAACAGTCACACCTGATCACTTGAGGTTCTGATGAAACACAAGGGAGACATGGGGGTAGATCATATCCTGGTGTATCAGTACAGCCCATGTCATTACTGTAGGGAATGCCGAAGTAATAATCGAATCCTGTTCATAACACAAGAACAGCCAGTCGGTTGTGGTTCACCATTGCTAAAATCATCTGCCACAAATGGTTATAAGCTGGTTCTGTTGGAGATTTCTTCCTGTCAAGTTGGAGTTTTTCCTCTCCACTATCGCTACATGCAGGCTCAGTATGAAGGATTGTTGTAAAGTCAACAACATATGCTGGTCCAGGAGGAGTGAATGATGTAAGTCATTGACGTGATGCAATCTGCTGTGTTTCCTGAGATAGATAAAACTTTTGAACTCGTTTATTGTTTGAAAACTAGGAGCAAAATTGAATGCATGTAATGGACTTTGAATCTGTTAGTATGAACTGAAATGCTAGTGGAGAGAGGGTTGTAACTCAGCTAGTGAAGAAGAATCAGCAATGATGTGTTTTTTGTCACATAAGGCACAGCTGGAAAGTGGTTGGTGGCCTTGTTTTGTACATTTCCTGCAGCGGAGACATAGGACTGTGAGGCTGGAGGTGCTCAGAAGGCCAGGCTGACTTGTCATTGTATTGAAATGGAAAGATACAGGATTGTGCAAGAAGTTCAAATGTGCTCATGTTTCAATTTAAGTGATATATAAAGACAGTAAAATGATTTCTACCATTGACTGTTTCAATAAATATCAGGCATTTGCAGTTTCTGTATAAGTTTAACACAATGCTATGACAGACACGTTTTTCTGAGTAAATCTAAATTTTAGCACTAAAATAGCACCAAACCAATCAAAATCTAGGACTCTAATCAGCCTCTGAAGATCCCCTGAGTTGCCTGGCACAAAGCTACCAGTAGCAGACCTTTAGGGTCCAAGTTGCCAGCTAGTGCCTCTGACGACTGTGTGTCCAGCAAACTTCCCAGAAGCTTGTGAATTCTTTAAAGAAGTCAACAACTTTTGATGGTCCTTCCTAAAGCAATTTTGGAGAATGACTGAAACAACTATCCAGCTGAAATAGGCCATTGTCATGCGGGATGGCATCTTTATCAAGGGTGCCAGGACCTATCCAGAGTGTACCCCGCTTCACACCCTGTGAAACTGGCCCAAAAGGATAGACACATGGATAGATGTACTTTGTCAGCATTATAAATAGGTGGTACATACTAGTCATGGTTAAATCAAATTAATCTATTGTCATTTTACTTTTGCATTGGATGTTGGAGTATCGTCTGCCTGATGGCAGCACTTCAGACAGTTCATGAAAAGAGCGTCAGGAGTCTTAAGGGTCCTGTACAGTTGGGCATCATGCTAAAATCGATTCTCGTCGTTTCCGAAGCTGCTTGACAAAAATTCTGTCATTTTGTCTCGAAATTTCACGGCTTTGTTTGTTTATGCAGAAAAAATAGCCCTAACTACTTAACCTCCAGAAGTCAATTTTTCAGTCAAAGAGCAGGAACAAGTCAAGTCAGCAGTACATACTGCTGGACCAAAATACTGAACTCTCCTTGCTCAGTTCTGTTCTGTGTCAGCGGGTGAATGTCCAAAAGAAGCCTTGTGTTATTTTAATTTATTTATTTTTTGGCTTCCAACAACATGGAAAATAAAATAAGATATTCCAGTTTGTCGATCATTACTTCTTTCTCCGACAAATGTGTGAACATATGTGTTTACTATACTGGTATAAAGCACACCTATACGCCAAAATACCATGGTTATGATTGCAGCGGGAGGGGTTTCACGGTTCAGTGTGTCTTGTGGACCTTCAAAGTAGTGTACAAAGTGTTATGGTAGTGTGTCTCCGGTTCCACTACCACATGACCATGTATCGACAGGGTGACTATCATTACCCTCAGCAGATAAGCAGAGACAATACTGAGTACAGGTGGTACTGCTCCAATCTCCAGCCAGTCCTGTACTGACTGGAATGCTGTTAGTCAGGCAGAGGAAAGAGTGAACCAAGCAGCAGCATGCAGACTAGACTCACCTCTGTTGTTAGGACTATAAGGTCCGTTGTGTCCGAGGTGCCATTTTCCAATAACGGCGGTGTAGTAACCAGCCTGCTGCAGCAACTGGGCCAAAGTGACTTCAGACAGAGGCAGACCAGCCACAGAGTTCACAGCAAAGTTATGAGTCACTCCATTTCTGAGGCCATAGCGGCCGGTCAGGATAGCAGCACGCGATGGAGAGCAGGATGAAGCAGGGGAGTGGTAGTCTGTTAATCTGAAAAAAGTTTATTCATACACATATAGTTTATGACATTTAAGGTCCTCTTCTAAGAGAATTACTCTTGAATTACTTTGTTAACTTGTCATGGAGTCAGGGGCTCACATCTTATATATCACAAATAAAGGTTTTACCTGAGCCCTTGCTGGGCCATCTGGTTGAGATTTGGTGTATTATTTGTGTGTTTCTCTGGTTGGTTAACATCCAGATCTCCCCAGCCTATATCATCTGCCAGTACAATGATAAAGTTAGGCTTCTTTTCTGCTCCTCTTTGTGAAACTGTGTAGATCACCAGCCCAGACAGCAACGTCACAGTCAGGAGCAGCTGAAATGCAGGCCGGGCCATCTTGGGGTAAAAACTGTGAAAAGGAACACATGTTTGACTTAGAGCTTGGCTAATATATGATAATATTCAAGCAGTTAGAGAACAAACATCATCGTGAAGACCAAGATGTAGAGAAATTTAAAGGGCCAACATTATGTAAAATAAAAGTATTTGAGCTTTACATCATGTTATAAAGTTATTTGCTCATCAAAAACATACCTGAAGTATTGCTTTGATTCTTTCATGCAAGTTTGAGAAATCCTTTATTCTCCATGGCAACCATTCAGCTGTGCAAAATGCCTGGATGGACCTAGCATCCCTTCAGACCTGCAGCTTCTAAGCTTTCAAGCTTTTTCCTAACAGAGCAGCTCTCCCCCATGACTCCCCCCACTCAGCTCCTTCAGACTAGCCAGCAGCAATTAGCAAACGCCTGGTGGAACTTGGCATTTACTGAGCTCATTATAGAAACTACTTCTCAGTGAAATGCTTGTAAAGACGTTGTTAAATGGTTAATAGAGAAGCCATGTTGTGACGACTTCCTGAAGGCGGCATTTCAGAAAGAGCAGGAGTTTTTAAAGAGACATAAGCCCAATTTCAAGGCATTCAATTACACAGTAAAATTACTTTTAACTCATATTTGATATATGTGTAATTTTTTTAACAACTGAAGTCAACATAGTTAGTTGATTGTGCTATAAAATGGCACTAAGTGCCTGGAGCATGTCACTGCTATGTTCAAGTCTTTAAAACTGGACTATGGAACAACAAAAAACCCACAGTGACATGGTTGTCAACCTAAAGTGATTGGGAGAGAATTAATCAGAGAAGCAGCCAAGAGGCCCAAGGCAACGATGGAGGAGTTACAGACACACACTCCACAAACCTGGACTTTATGGGAGAGGAGCTGGAAGGAAGTCCAAAGCCATAAAAAATCCTGTCTGCAGTTTCTCCATAAGCCATGTAGGGAACAGAAAAACATGTGGAGGTATACTGGTGTATACTGACAGCTATGTCTAATAAGAAAGAGTTGAATACACCTGTTGTGCCCTATTCAAAAATAATGGTACAATTTAATCAAAAAGGAATTTATATTCCAAGTGGAGCAGTGTTTTGCAGATGACTGTGAGTTGAATTGAATTAATTAGCTGAGCTAAAATGAATAAAGTAGTCTAGTATACGCCGAGGAAATCCTCCTTTAAACTCAGGTTTGTTTGATTTAAACACAGAGATGGGAAGAAGATGAACAACCTTACAGTGTTCACATGGTGAAATAATAATAAGTCACACTGAAAAAAAGAGAATGCAGCTCCATCTTTTAAAAAGAAAATGTGATAATTGGACAAAAGTCATCAAATTAAGTTGATCCAAGTTCATTTATTAAGTTTTTTTTTAAGTTGTCAAAGGAAGCAAATGTAAATAAAATAAAGTTTGATAAACTCCATTCAACTAGCAAATAAATCTACATCAAAATGAAGAGGTCAGAATGGCCCATTTAAAGTCTGGACTTAAATTTAACTAACATTCTGTGGTGGGACTTTAGACAGGTCAACTACACTCTAAAGCACTGGATGGGGCTTACTTATAAGAATTCTGCAAAACGTGGGTGATTGTTTCTCCAAAGCCATGTTGCCACTAGCGGTTTATTAGATTTAGGGGTGATTATTTTTCTCACACATTTCATTTCAAATTGCATTTTGTATTTATTCAGGTTGTTTCGCGTTAAAGATTGTTGAGTGAGTTGAATCATTTTTGCTTTAAGGACAAAGCGAAAGGCTAATCTTACTCATCACAATGGAAGTTTGGAAAAGTAGGTACATGAATCTCAATCTTGTTAACTGATGTAGATTGTTAACCTAAAAGGACATGTTGTACATACAGATGGCAGACATTCCAAATGTTCCAAAATTTGGGACAAACCTGGAAAACATGTGGATTTAAATAGACTTTCCACAGTTTTCAACCTGAGAACCTTCAACCACCAATCAGAGTAGGCTAAGTTTTAAAAAAGGCGTGTGTTATTCTGTGGACGGTTACTACAGACTTAGAACTGGTTGCAACCAGATCCCTCCAACCCTTCTCCCTCCTCTGTATGAATGTGACTCTGTGGCACACACAGCACGCCTGTTCTCGGGGTTCACGCGTGTCTGTGGATAAATGTCTGAGAGAACATGTGGCTCATATACAGTACGTGGGCTACCCTGCGATCGTTCGCAGATGGAAGACAGTGGAAACAGTCGCAGCTACTCCGACGAAGAACGGATTAATTTCAGCTGAAATTAGCAACTCTCAGGTCAGACAGAAACACTTCAAAACGAAACATTTCACTACCTAGCATGCCCTCTGTGGTTGGCTTTCATTTATCACTGCTCCATGAGTGGGGAAAAAACACTACCTTGGCTAACTGAGCTGTAAAAGTCTTAAAAAGGCGACGTACAGATACTTACTGTGTGAGTGAGTTGTCATTAAACAACAAGCACGCGACAACAAACAGCCGGCTGGAACGAGGACATTACGTCAAGCGCAGTGCGCGCGAGGATACAACCCGAAGTCAACATCTCTTCCAAGTCCACAGATAATCAGGAATGTTGATGGTTAAAACCAACGGAACATAAAATATGACTGACTATATTAGCAAATGTAAATAATAATCATAAATGAAGAAAAGCGAGAGGCATTTGTGTGCTGGTTGATAGCCTACTAAGAAAATAAAAGATACAAAAAGTTTCCGATGAAGGCAAAAAAAAGTAGAGGAAGTATGTTACTTGTACGTAAAATATGCAAGATTTCAAAAACATCTCCAAGTCCTGCATTTTTCCATCCTTTAAAATGTTTTAGTATGTTAATGCCATGTTATATATGTTACTTTATTTTAGAAATAGATACGGGCAGCAAGTTATTCATGTCTCAAGACTTTGTTCCGTTGGTACTCAAAGAAGTGTATTATTGTGAAGTAAAAGGAAAACCTATAATTTTTCTTGGTGATGGTCTGATTTCATATATTTTTTTAAACAAATAAAAATCTGAAAAGTGTGTTGTGAATGTGATTTTAACCCCTCCCCAGTTAAATCTGTGTAGAATCACCTTTTGCTGCTGTAATAATACTTCATAGAACTAAAATTACGATTTTTTTCAATATATTTTTTGGTCTGGACTTTAACTGGGCCATATAAACTGTTCCATTGTCGTTCTGGCTTTATGTTTCTGTGGACCTCCACTCAGTCTCAGGTATAGTAAATTATCAGTTAAATTATCGTTTTCAGTTTTTTAATTTCCACAAAGTAAAAAAAGCCTTTTCCTCATTTTGTGTAGCTATGCAATCCCAATATAAAACCTTTAACGTTTGTAACGTAATGTGATAAAATATGGAAAACTTCAAAGCACACCTTTCAGATACGTTTATTTAAGTTTTAACTTGATCATTTCCAAATAAATCGATATAAATATTTATATGTATGTTTTAGTAACTATTAAGATCACATAAGGCATAGAACACATCTCAGTCTTTTCTATTCTCTGTGGTCAGCTTTTGTTTCGGGTTGGTAATAAATGATCATTTTCATGTATACCCTGGGGGTGTATTAACATACTAACAGGCTTAAATCTGGTTTTCTTGGCGTTTTCTAATAGGAGTTTTTTTTTCTTTCACATTTCACATCTCTGTATGTCTAACAGCATGGGACAATGGTTACTTACCCTTTATGTTTATTTGCTTTGTAAATAAAGTGTTATGCAACTACTTCATACTATGCAGAATAAGTCTTTCATTAAAGGTTTCCAGCAGATCAAAATGAACCTGGATTTACTCCACTGCACGCTTATCGTACCAACGGCAATTATGAAACCTTTTCTTGTTGCGAAACTGAACAAAGCCACGAGGGGAAATTGCATAAGTTTCATATAGTGAAGGTGAAATTTAAAATATTACCCTTAGGAGGGAAAGTTAAAGGAATAATGCAGAAACTGCAGATTGTTAATAAAAAGATGCACATTTGTACTTGTTTACATATTTTAAGAGGATTACAGAGTTGATTACAGTTCCCCTTTTGCAATTTTTAAAATGAAAACAAATTTCATTAAGTCTTCAATAAACTCATTGGAGGGTTGCAGTATAATCATCGTGCCCAGAAAGAATGTAAAGTTTTTGCCTATGGTAATTCATATTTTATTTTTAAGTAGTGGAGATTGAAGTGTCAGTAAATGCACCACTTTTACAAATAAGAAACAAAATACTGTCGACATCTGGATTTTTTTGCTCAATTTTGACCCTCCTCATCCATCCCCCTCCTCAAGTATTAATAATTAATTAGTTTCTACCTTGCAGAAAGAGGCTGAACTTCAGCTACTGTTTTTTCTTCTCTCCTGACATCTATGGGCTCCGCACTGACAGTGTTTGTACATTCAACATAGCTGGAAGGATGCGTAACATGAGAACGGAGTGACATGATTACAACTAAAACTGCAGCGGTTTTGTAAAACAGATAATCTGACCTGTCAGTGAGGGGAAGCGGAGCAGATCAGAGGGAGGGTCTTCGTTCTTGGAACCGCTGAGGCGGGTTCTGCAGAGTCCGGCCGAACCAGCGCCAACAGGGATTGGGACTCTAATCCGAAGCGCTCTCACTGCGGGCTCATTGCATCCGGCAGGTGGCCGAGGTTCGGCTCCACATCGCAGACTGATCGCGGTTCAAAGGTCTGTGCATGTTTTGGTTATTTTCTAACTGTGCCAAAACATAGAAATAAAAAACTTTTTTGTTTTAAAATACACCGTTTTTATGTTTTTTGTGGTTGTTTTTTCTTCATAATTACAATAAAAGTCTCTCAAACTAACTGAGAATGACCCACTTTTTAAAATTCCTAATTTGGCTCCTAATTTTGCGACCAATAAGGTGCCTGTAGGAGGCGCTATTTCATTCTGTTCACCTCATATGTATACCACGTGTTTGTTAGGCTACAAATAAACACGTTTCGCGTCTCGAATTTTCTATAAGCTTGGATGAAGTGAAAAATTATATTGTTTTCATGTCACATGATCCTAATATTGTATCGTTTGTTCACGGAATGTGGAGGATTCTCAGGGAACCAGTAACAAACAAACAAACAAAAGTGGCCTGTATTTCAATAACATTTTCTATTTTAAAATTAATAACTGCCCCTTTATTTTCGTGGTTTCTGGTGAGAAAATCCCAAAACATAATAACTCACTTGGGCAGATTGTGGCTTATCCAGAAGTAGGCCTTCTTTAAACAACACAGCTTGTTTTAATGTATCTCTTTAAAGTAATATTATTTGTGTAAATAATTTTATGCATCTCTTGCATAAAATTATGCAAGAGATTAGCATGTTCAACTACAGCAACATCATGCTGTAACTGAACTAACTAGATGTATTTCAGCAATGCCTTTGAAAAAGTGAATCTCATTCACAAAGTAATATAAGTTATTTCTGTAAACACTGATGGTTATGGTTCACAGGATCTCATGGGAAATCTCATTTGATAATCTTCTCACATAATGTTGATTGAAAGTCAGTCATGCTTCATTTGTAACAGTATGCACCCATTGCAGTTTTCTGGCCAGGCAGTTAATACCAGTCTTAAAAAGCCTGACTTGCCAGGCTTTTTAAAGACTGGCAAGTCAGGCCTAGTACCTGTCCATACCTGGTATGTGACATACTATGGTATGTCACATACCATAGTATGCCACTATGGTATGTGACATACCTGCCACATACCATACCTGTCACAGCGTCATCGTCTGTGGTGCGCTGCTCCTGCCAATCATTATTAAACCCAGAATACCTGTCACATACCTGTCACTAATCCATACCTGGATTAGTGACAGGTATGGACAGGTCACTAATCCATACCTGTCACTATGGATTAGTGATAGGTATCCAATTTTGGCCGATACTGTGGGGTTTTTTTTTGTTTGTTTTTGTATGAAATGTTGCTAAATATAGCAAGAAAGTCATTGAGTTGGTGACAATTGTTAACTGCAAACATGCAGACATGACCTGGATGGCCGGTCTGTCAGAGCAATAGAGAACAGTGGTTGACTTTTAGACCTTTGATGGACTTCAGTATAGGCCAATCAATGATCTCCCAAAATGAAGGCAATCAGGGCCGATTCATTGGTACAACCCTTGTGATTACTAAAGCTTTTTCCTCTTTTGCAGAGCATGGGACTGTGCAGAGCTAAAGTAACCCAGTTCCTGGGAGCTAAAGAGTACTCCAAGGCCCCTGACGGAGGATGGGGGTGGGTGGTGGCTGTGGCGTTCTTCCTGGTGGAAATGTTCACATATGGCATCATTAAGAGCTTTGGGATCTTCCTCCAGGACATGATGGAGGAGTTTGGCGAGACCAATAGTCGGGTCTCATGGATCATTTCCATCTGTGTGTTCATCATGACCTTTAATAGTAGGTGTCCGGTTCATGTGCCAGGACGGACTGGATGCAGCTCTGACAAAACAAATCCAGCCCATAAGTGGCAATGGTATTAAATCACAATAATTTGCATGCAATCTGCAGGTCCTCTCTCCTCAGTGATGATGAACCGCTTTGGCTTCCAGTTTGTTGTTATGATTGGAGGATTACTTATATCCACTGGCACCATTGCAACTAGCTTTACCAGTTCACTCAATCAGATATACATCACCTATGGATTAGTGACAGGTATCCTTTTGACTTCATCTACACCGATAATGAATTCTCTGAAGCTGTCCTACAGCGATGTGTCTTGGTGAATTAAACAAAAACGTATTGAACTGTGCAGGTCTGGGCTACTGCCTGACGTTCCTGCCCACTGTGACCATCCTGTCAAAGTACTTCAGCCATCGGCGCTCTCTGGTCACTGCTCTGGCTTCTACTGGGGAGTCTCTTGCGATGTCTGCCCTAGCGCCAGGTGAGAGCAAAGGTTTCTGATTACTTTTATTCAAACATACCAAGAGTGCTTTGTTGAAGTATTCACGCCTTCTATGCATTTTTGTTGAGACTTATTCTGTACAGACACCAGATAAATAAAATGGTAAATGGACTGAACTTATATAGCGCTTTTCCAATCATTTTGACCACTCAAAGGACTTTACACTAGAGTCACATTCACCCATTCACAATCACAAGCGCTCACACATTTATACACCGTTACGCAGATTGGTAGGCAACCAGAGAATACTTTAAAAATGGATGACATGATTTTCTTTAAAAAAAAAAAAGTGGGGGCGGGGGATTTGAGTTCTCCCCACTCGATCATGTTCTAGAATCACCTTTTGCTGCATTTTGCTCAATGGATGGATAGATGGATGGATGGAGTCGCACCATAAAACAAACTTATCTACAGCAGCTTTATGACTGTCGGGATTGTCTGTTAAGAGACTCAGAATAACTGTATCATCTGAAAATTTTATTATGTACTGATTGGGTTGAGAACTGACACATTCATTTGTGTACAAAATAAAAAGGTAAGGCGAACTGACACAACCTTGGGGGCCCCCTGTGCTACGCAACATAGAATCAGAACTGAATTGTATTTTACTTGCTGAGATCTTTTTGATAAAAAGGAATAATACCACTTGATTAAAAAAAGGATTAACCTTCAACTGTACCAATTTCCTAAGAAGAATTTTTACATGGATATAATTAAAAGCTGAACTAAAATCAACAGAGAAGTCTGGCGTATGTTGCAGAGTTCTCCAGATGCTTTAGTGCGAGGTGCATCAGTGTCACAATAGCATCACTGGTACTTTGTCTACTGGCGTAAGCAAATTGAAAGGGATCCAGAAATGGCTGCACTTCTGCTTGTAGTAGCTCTAACATGAGTTTTTCAAATGATTTAATTACAATAGAAGTGAGTGCTACTGAGCAATAAACGTCAGTTTGAGGACATGCAATTTTTGGAACTGGAATGACAATTGGTTTCTTCCAAATATCTGGAACCAAACGAGTGTCTATAGAGATCTAAAAAAGTTTAAGCCAAATCGGAGAAAGTTCTTGAGAAGGAAAGCAGACATATTGTCTGGGCCAGTTGCTTTATGTGTGTTTAAACCCTTGAAGACCCTAATTACTGACTGTACAGCTGCAGGTTTCTGGGAAATGTCTATATCAGAGCTAACCATCTTAAGGCCAACATTTTTTTCTTGACTTCTTCAACAAGCTCAGCCACATTGTTGTTCCAAATTCAGATCAATTGGATTTAGGTCTGGACTTCAACTGACACATTCTAAAACACAAATATGCTTTGATCAAAAACCATGTCCATGGTAGCTCTGGCTGAATGGTTGACCTGCAAGGCTGATGGTTTATTAAAAATATATATGTTTTGTACATACATTTGTTAAAATTACCATCATGTTGTGACAGTATAATATGTGACAGAAGATCTGTGAAAAAAATCTCAGAGAGGAAGAGTGGTTGACCCCGTTGGTAGGTGTGACGATATCTTGTAGGGGTTATGATCGGTTTATACATGAAATAACATGACACAAAAAACAATGCACTTTGTGTTCATTTTTAAATAAGCTGAGCAATCACATATTTCATTTCATTACTGCATTTCCTTTGCCTTTTAGGCTTTTCTGTGTTAAGAGACAAAATTGGCTGGAGACACACCATGGCAGTGATTGGAGCTCTGCAAAGCGTCATCATCATCTGTGGTGTGCTGCTCCGGCCAATCATTATTAAACCCAGAATGTCCCAAAGCCAAAACATTGAAACGTCTTCCTCAAAGGAGCTGGAAGCACTCAAGACACAAGAGAACGTAGACAGTTTGGTTCTGGAGAACATTGAGACGACTAATGGCGTCCTGTCACTTAAAGACACCTGTACACCAGAGGAGAATACTTCACTGGACAAAGAGGCAAAGCTAGAGACGGCTCCAAACTCTCTGGAAAAAAGTAAAGAACCGGAAACAGAAAAACACAACAAAGATGACAAACAAATGATGGACCAAGGAGAAGGATGCAACTCAGGCTGCACAAAGCAATCTGCTGCAAATTCTAGACTCCTAGACTTCTCCATCCTCAAAGACTCCAGCTTTGTCCTCTACTCTCTGTTTGGACTGTTTGCCACTCTGGGCTTCTTCGCTCCTCCGCTCTACATCATCGAGCTGAGCGTGAGCCATGGGATGGAGCGAGAGCAAGCCACCTACATGCTCTCCATCATGGCAGTGGCTGAAATCTTTGGACGATTCGTCATCGGGTGGGTCCTGTCCCAAAATGTGTTCAGGACGAGGAAGCTCCAGGTGCTCCTGGTGTGTGTGATTATGATGACAGTGGACTTAGTGGGATTTACGCTGGTGACACATTTTTACACTCTGGCTTTGTGCTGTATTGTGTACGGGTTCTTCATGGGAACCATTGCATGTACTCACATCCCTATGCTGGCAGAGGACGAGGTGGTCGGCGTGGAGAGGATGTCATCAGCTGCCGGTGTCTATGTGTTCATCCAGAGCTTTGCTGGACTGGGTGGGCCGCCACTTGGAGGTAGGAAAGATCTTTTTATGGGTAAAAATTTCTGGTAGTATAACATTCTGATCCCTAAGCAAATGTATAAGCCCTTAAATGTAGAGATGCACCGAGAAATTTACTTGCGTCACAAAATTGTCAGTTTGCAGCTTGATTGGTTCTGGCCAGCTTATTTAGCAAACATACCTCAAGTAACTACCAGAATGCTCAACAACACTCTTGGCGTGGATGCTGTTACTTAGTAAAAAAAGTCAGATGAAGCATAGATGCGCATGAGAGAACTGGATTACCAAATGAGTCAAAAACATCAAACAGTATCTGAGGTTCATATATTCCATTTGTGCAGCTTGAACAGGTCTGTGATACTTAAACAAGCAATCGTTTCAAATTTGTTTAGACACATGGATCTCTTCTTATTCCATTTTCTTAGTATGAAAACAAATATGTCGCTGAGGACAGTGAGATCAGTTTCTCAACCCCAAACCAATCTGTGGAGGATCAAATAATATGATGCCATAGTTTTAGATTTATAGTTTACTGAACTTGTTTCTCTGTGCCCACTCCATGCCTACAGGTGTGCTGGTGGATGTAACTAAGAACTATGGAGCGGCGTTCTACTCCTGTGCGGTGGGAATGGGACTGAGTGCTGTGTTCCTGGGATTTGTTAGACCTGCAAAGAAAGGGTTGCCCTGCAGGAGGAGGAGCCCAAAATGCTCTGCAGTTGAACATGAAAGGAACCCTGGCTACAAGGAGGTGAGCGGAGAGGAGAAACCGGACCAAACTCACACCACACACGACTGCTCTGAGACAGAAGACAAACGGGACGTCAGTCAGGAAGGAGTCAAAGAGGTCACAATTCAATACTGAGCTGAAAAAACACACAAGTAAAAGAACAAATCAAATGAATGTAAGGGTATAAGGTGAACAGTCCAGGATGCAGTAAAGAGAAGGTTCAACACTTATAAGAGGGGAGTAGGCATGGGCTGGTTCCTGGCTTCAAGGTATACTGCAATATATAAAACGTCACGGTTTCAAAATCACAAAAATTTTTCATCATACCATTCCGGCAGTACAAGCGTTTCTTTTTTGTCTGGTCAGAGATAGAGTGGAGGTCAAATCAAACTAGTCATGTGTAGGTAACCTATCCACCTTGTCTAAAAGAATGAACATATTCCCACTTTATGGGAATATGTTAGCTACCACAGGAAGACAGATGGCAACTTGGAGGAAGAAGGTTGCCCTTTGTGCAAAACGGGCTTACTATACTGTAGCCAAAGGAGGCAAGCACGATCGTACATCTAGGAGAGAAATTTGCTAAATTCAGGTAAAGTTCATGCTGTGGTGAAATGAACGAGCTAACTTTAGTGAAACAAATATCACCGTGTTTGTGATCTAGAAACAACTTCCAAAAGCAATTCAAGTTGACTATGACTTCAGAGATTATGGTGATAGGCTAATTTCAAATGAAAATAAAGGGCCGTCGCGTGGTGCAGACTTTAGAGCTGCGCCGTGTAGACAAGGGCTACCGACCTGGATGTGCCCATCCCATGTTTGTCTCCCATCGTCTTTCTCCCTTTCTCTTTGACCCCTTCCTGTCAAATTGCTTTGAAATAAATGCCACCAGAGTAAACAAAATGTCAAGCAATAATAACGAAAGAAATTCTAGTTAAATTCAAATGGCTGTTCTAATTGTTCTGGCAGCAACACGTCATGTCAAAGAGGATCAGCCCACAATTCAGCAAACGTGCACGAAGCAAATTGCTTATGCATTCACATCAAAGCATGCCAAAGAAATGCTAAATGATACCAATACCACACCTAGCCTAGCCTTCCTTTGAAATAATGAATTGACATTAACAGCTGCCTCGTAATTTCCAGAAGCTTCATAGCATCAAACTGGTGCATTACATCATCGTTACGTCACAGCCAAACATTAGCAACTTTAGCAAAATTTAAAACCTCAACAGAATCCACTCCTCCAGGAAGCAATCATTTCTCAATAGCTGAGCGTCCAGACCCTCTGTACCAAGCTCTGTACCAGGTAAAAGTCAGGCCCTGACTTTTACCCGGCTATGTGATACCACGACACTTTTTACTTAACGTATCATATCGTCATAACTTCATACCGGCCCATGCCTAGAAGGGAGTATCGCTGTGGTGTTTGATCCAACAACCAGGTTTTTTTTTACAAGTTTACATGCCAAATATAAAAATGAATGCTTTTTTTTTGTACATTTTTCTGTGTTAGTGAAGAGTGTAGAGTGAATGAACAGTGACATGAGATGTCACACAAAGGCGTGTCCTCAATAAGTCATCAGTGTTGCAGTGTGAAGTTAGTTTGTCTGTCTGATATCAATCAGGGCCCAACACTGAAGCATTTTAAATCACCTGTTGATCAGTCTAATCACTCCTGGAAAATACTAGAAACTAAAGAGAGCTGCTAACAAAATATACTGCACAGATTTTCCATCCATCCATCCATTTTCTATACACCCTTGTCCCTAGTGGGGCCAGGAGGGTTGCTGGTGCCTATCTCCAGCTAACGTTCTGGGTGAGAGGCGGAGTCCCTGGACAGGTCGCCAGGGCAACACAGAGGCCAATTAACCTGACAGTCATGTTTTTAGACTGTGGGAGGAAGCCGGAGTACCCAGAGAAAACCCAGCATGCACAGGGAGAACATGCAAACTCCAAGAGAAAAACCCTGGGCTGGGAATTGAACCCAGAACCTTCTTGCTGCAAGGCAGCAGCTCTACCAACTGCACCACTGTGCAGCCCTGCACAGATTTTATTGCACTTAAATTAAAAAAAATTAAAAATTAAAAAACCTCAGGAGAATGTAACAAAGTATTTTCTTCTTTTTTTTAATCAATTTTTTCTGTATATTAATCATTTGTCATTTTGTACCAAAGATGCATCCAATCGCAATAAAGCAATGATGTGATTTGAACTTCGTAATTTTTGTGTCATGAACCGATGGCTCGTGTATTGATCACATCAGTCACTGAAGAGCCTGCATAATGTGAACACATTCATCCATGCAAAATGACCTGCTAATGCTAACGTGAGCATAAACACATCAGATTTCAGTTTGCATTTCAGACTAAAATTTAAATGTGACATTGAGTTCCTTAATTCACAAGGTTTCTTTCTCCTGTTTGTCTTTCTAAGTTTGACAGTCCATCCAAATTTCCTCTGATTTCTAACGTGTTCTATCAGTGCAACACATCTGTCGAAGTCCTCAGTTTACACAATAAATCAATAAAAATATCTTGATGATCCTCCTGCATGTTTACTCGTGATAACCAGCTGTACTTGTGACTTGTTTTTTCCTTCGTGTTTGAGTCAAATGAAGGAGAAACAATTGGTCTAAAAGATGTCATTTGAGTATTTCACATGTTCATTCATTCATACACCAAGCTGTAGGCAACTTGAGGTTAAGTGTCATGCCCAGAACATGAGGAAGCTGCAAGCTTCCAATTGCAAGATCCCAACCCTACCGCTGAGCCGCAGGTACAACATCAAGAGGCTTAAACAAAACTCTTCATCAGCTGTCTGAAAGCTGGCAGTCACTTCTGCTAACTTATTTCCAGTCTGTCCAAACAGCTGCGGAGCCACAGCAGGGATTCACTGAAGGCTTCGGTGGGTTTGTGAAAATGGACAGCTGAGCGGTGAGCAGCTGCCCCCTCTGCTTCTGACAGCTGACTCTCATCGTCTTCCATCCACCGCAGTAAAGCCTGTTGAACACACAGATAAAATAACTTACAAGAATCAAAGTAAAAATAGTGTGATGATGAATAAACTCTTCCAAAATATGGCAAACTCAAAGTGTGAAGAACACAGTAACCATCCATTTATCAATGACTAAATAAATCATTTCTTACACCTTGCCGGTCATATTAATGCAATCTTCTTGGAAGTACAAACATTGTGAGCAGCAATGTTGGCAAAGTTGCGTTAGGGTTTTTTTTAAATGTTTTTTTAGTGTGTGATCCATTTATTTAATAAACACAGATGTACAGGAGAAATGGTTTTCAGTATTGTTAATTAAAAAATAAATAAAAGTAAGAAAATGTGGAGCTTGATACCAGCAGAGGAAAATGTTTCTAAAAGGTTTACAAAAAGAGAGAGAGAGAAAAAAGATACTTATAGTTCTGGGAGAGTCTCTAATCAGCAGATTAACTGGTTATATATAGAACAAACTTCCAGAAAACTGCAAAACAGCTGAAACACTGAGATCCTTTAAATCAAGACTACACAGCCACCTGTTTAGAGTTCTGAAATGGAACATAAACCAACATATTTAATGTGTTTTGATGATTTTAACGATGGCACTTGACAAAATGCAATGTCTGTTACTGGTTTTCACAATTATTGTCTGCATGATGTATTTATGATGGTTTTATGTTTTCATGATGTAAAGCACTCTGAACTGCCTTGTTGCTGAAACGTCAGGTGAGGTGGTCAGAGTTGGGTGAACAAGTGTCATCTAACAAAGATTCAGGTCAGCGAGAAGAAAAAAATGCTGTAGGTAGGTGTGATGCAGATTCTCTCCATCAGCAGAGCGCGTCCTGAATGCTAAGGCCAGTTAACATAGCCACTGATTGATGGATAAACGGTTTTCCTGGAACGGTGAGTTGTTTCTCTGCCATTAGCACATTTAGCAGTGAAGTTGATTACCAGTGCTAAGACCCGCCTCCTGGTTCTGATTGGTCGTTTCTGAGCGCTGCATTTCTCAGCAGCTCAGGAAGGAGGTGGAGGAGACATTATCTGTCTCATGCTACATTGTCACAACATGGTAATACAAATATGTGCAAAATAATATTTTTTATAAAAGTTACAATCTGCAGCTTGAAAGCAGGGCAGGGAAATGGATGGAGTTCAAAATAGAGCTTGAATTTGAAATAAATGTTCAAATCCAACATTGTTTTTTTAATTCTATTTTGGAGGATGGGGTTTATGCTTCAAGAATTTATGAAGGAGAAAAGAACAATTTAAGAACAAGATCCTTAAAATGTTTAGAGATAAAAGAAAAAGAAAGACAATGTTACAAATTGTTACATAAAATCCTTCTTGCGGAGTGGAAATATACAGCATTCCGTTAGGGTTCAAAATTCAAGCAGATGTTGAGAAAGAGGTTTTTTAGGATGTACCAGCTCAGCACAGTGAGGTTAAAATTCAGTCTGCCATGTGAACTCAGGCGTGTCAGGGAGCAGAACACCGACCCAGACGCTACCAGAAAACAGGCTGACGTAATCAGAGTTTCTCATCATCATTACAGCATGAAAATGTCTCCTGTACATTGAACAGTTGAGCGTACATTAAGCAGAGTGTAGCTTTACCTTGTATCTGTCAGCAATTTTAAATCCAACGGCGACCTGAAGCTTGTGAAGGCAGATGGGACAGAGGTCCAGTGGTCTACGATCAGACTCCTCCAAGTGGTTCGATCCCTGCATGACACAGTTCATCCACTGGCAGTGCTTTATTCCAAACATGTGGCCAGTCTCATGGGTAATAGTCTGCAACAGCATGTTACATACACCGTATCACAGCAAATTCACAAACAGCAGTAGTGAGATAAAATGACCTGTACTTGAAGCACTGAACACACAAAGACTCAACGCATAATAAACCTGGGAGAGCTCTCTCTAAACATATTTTAGACCTTAAAATGTTGAAGTCATAAGATGTAATTGTCACTTCAGTCTTTGCAATTATTTTCAAAATAGAGTAGTTTTAGAGTACTACTTTTCTGAAATAAATAAATAAAAAACACTGAAAGACATTAAGGTCATTGTAAATGAAAGGAAAAACAGGAGTAGCACATTTCTGACAAAAAAAAAAAAACTCAGACATTTTTAAATTAATTTCAGAAATTTGCTAGAAAGAAACTTGGAAATTTATGAGCTTCAGAGGTTAAGAATTTTCAACTTTTGGACATTTCCGAGATTTTGTGTTTCAAATAATTGTTTTTGACTGATCTTTTAAATCCCTGGCTGGAGGTCTTAGTTTGATAGGTCTCCAAGCTGTCAGACGTTTCTCCTCCTCCCTCCTGAATGGGCCAATCAGGGGCCAAGTTCAGCTTCCTCAATATGATGTCATCACACAATCGCGTAATGCAACTTCCAGCTGTGTTCTCAGCTGTTCTGCGCTAACTTTTTAATTGATTTCAAGCATGAAAAATGAATATAACTATCACAAGCCAAAAATATGAGTGCAACTGAAAATGGAAATGTGTAAAAATGATTGCATATGCCCAGTAACAACCTTGCAGGATCGAAGCAGCAGAGTGCTGGTGATGGGTGGAGTGTAGTATCCCTGGAACACAGAGTAATCTCCCTGCCTCAGCTGAAGCTTCTTCTTCACCCTCCCAGCATAATTTCTGGAGTAAAAGTTGTCGTCATATCTGGCAAAGCTGAACACCCCCATCCCTGATGGGGGTGGAAATTAAAGTCACACTCTATACATTTGAGCACCATCTAGTGGTCGCTGTACATTTTCCTTAATGACGACAAAAAGCTCACCGTCACTGAGAGAAGCCTGACCAAACACAAAGTTCCAGGAGTCTTTTGGGTAGAGGTCAATCATCGTGATTCCAACTATGCAGAAAGCATCTTTTGGTTTTCTTTTCCTCAGAAACCGTAACAAGTCACCTTTGTTTCAAAAGGAAACAACAAACAGGTCGTGTTTGAAGGGGAAGTATAGGCAACTGACATCGTGAAGCAAAGCTTGGATTAAGAAATATGTCTGAGTTACCTGTGAGAATCTGCAGGTTGTGTGAGCTGCTGTTCACCCTAAAGGAGCATCCTGTTTCAGACACACTAACAGCTGGAAGCAACTCAACAGAAAGCCCACAGAAAAAGGCCTGGCAGTAATCTCTGAGCCATTCAACGTACCGGTCTGTCTGGAGTCCCACATCTCCAAAAGAACCTGCAAACAGACAAACACAGTTTGACATTTCAAAAAATATTTTTGCTTAATTGAAACAAACCTATAATAAAAAAAAGTTTTTTGATAAAAAAAAAAATGTTGGGACTACAATGAGATGGTTTCTTGGCCACTTACTTGTAGAAAACACCACAGTGGCAAAATTGTGTTTTTTCAACATTAGTGGATTTGGAAACACAGATGTTGTTACACATTTTTCCATTGGAAATGTGCTCAAAACTTTGTTGATACTCTGCTCATGTCGGGGAAAAAAAAAAAATTCACAATTGCAATGATTCTATTAAATAAGAAATACAGTTTAAATCACATAAATAAGTGTGTCCTCATGATGTCATTAAAAAACGCGCCACGCCTTCGACCTTCTACCACTTCCTATTTTTTTCCGACAGTAGTAACATCCTGCTGTTCATCACACGGCTCTTGTGATGTGAAAAATGTGCTTCCATTGCAGATTTGTGAAAAACACTAACGTTGCTATGGCCTCAGCAGAAAAACTTTTTAGCAAACATTAGTTTTTTTCTAAATTGGCCTCCTTTTATTAAGCACATTTATTTCTGTAATTTCAATTTGCACAATTTTATGGTCTTTGGAAGCGCAGCTAGTGTTTCGTAAAATAATACATCAAATTTGTAATATCCCTTGAATTTTTTGACAATCTTCAACCTTCTAAAAAAAAAAAACGCATTTTATGAGAAATTAAAAAAGTTCAAGTCACATTTAGCACAAGCTCACTCACCTATAGTTTGTATGTAAATAGTGCTGTGGCCTGTGTCAGGCGTCTTGCGGTAAGGGTCTCTATAGAAAGCCTCAAAGTCTTGAGGTTCCTCAGGATGAGCAACGATCCAGTCCGAGTCAGAGTGAAGAGTGATGGGCTGGAAGAGAGACCCTCGCTTCCCAGGGTGCAGTCCTTCCTCCAGAAGGCGCCTTTCTCCTTCTGTGTAGTCACTGTATAATTTAGCCACAGCGGGTAATTTAGACACCAAAGCCGAGCGGAGTTTCTCCTCAGAATGCTGGACCACGTTCATCTGTGGGACGGGGATCCGGGGACCAGGGGAGCGAGACAGAATGAAGTTATATCAGAATAATAAAAACAAATTTTTACTGCAGCTAAACCTAGCGTGGTGTAGCAGTGACCCCTACATCTCCTCTCTTTATGAATTTCTCTACATATTCAATAATGTTACAATAATGTTACAACATAGAAATCTTCCCACACAGCACACAGCTCATCTCAACTGTATATTCATACATATAAAAATAAATATTAAAATAAAAATTGGATGAAAATCCAAATCAATATCCACAAGAGAATAAAATTAATATAATTTGGCTCAGTTCAGTTTCAGACTGATAATATACACTAATTTCACACACAAAACAAAACAAAACAAAAAAAATAGTATCAATGCACTACAGTACCAGATATTATTTTGTATTGAATTACATAAAAAACAAACCTTTAAAACAGCAGCAAAAGGCACCAATCAGTGGACAGCGGCTACAGCTCTCAACGTAGAAATCTTCCCACGCTAGTAGAGAAAAAATAAATACTGAGACTACCAAACACACTATATGGAACAAAATCAAACACAGACCTTTTAAAAACAGCTATTATAATCTTAATCTTATATCTCTGGACATTATTAGCAACTAAATTTAATTTCATAACTGCTAGCTTAGCATACAGGGAGATCGTGGAAACCCCAACTTACCAGCACAGACGGCTCATTTCAACTGTAACAGAGTGAGACGCAGCTGCGCACATGGAGAAGAGGTGCGTCACACCAATTACCGGCCCCCGGTAATGTCGGAAACTTTTCACTTGGTAACAAAAATAAAGAAATTAGTATAAAAGTAGAAACAGTAAAAATAAAATGTTCCACTGAAAGTTTTTGAGAATGTTCATGTACAATAACAATAACAAGAATAATAATAATAAAATCAACTTGCTACACATAACTGCCATGACATAACACCTTTAAACCTGAGCAGCAGAAACAATATTCCACAATAACATATCCTAGATGACGCCAGCAAGCACTGCTAATCCACCTCATTTGCTTATGCTGCTCCAGGCTGTATGGTTAGAAAGCTGGGCAGAAAGACGCTGAAGTCGGAGAAGATTTGAACTTCCTTCCCCTCTCTCTTCATAATATGACAGATCATAATATTATGTCTGATTTGTGTATGAAAATTGACAGATACAGAGTTCGTTCAGTTATACAGCTGTTTCTGACTCAGTTAATGGCTGTACATCAAACTACACCTGACTCAGCTACATCGCTAATACTGGTCCAGGTCTACTCATAATACTTTGCACTGTTTTTATGGAAAAGTGTGGCAGAAATTCATTTACCTTTGGTAAAAATTCATATACTTTCTCAGTTTAGGTTTATGCAGTTCACATTTCTTTACACCTGTACACAACATTTACACAGCATATGCTTAAACAGTTATGTACGTGCGCTACAGCTAATTTCACTGTAAAGGTAAATATACCAAGAATGGGTTTTTTATGTAAACTGAAGCTACTAAACACTATGCTTATGTTTAGCGAGTCGCTAGCCTATGCTAATTGGGTGAAATTCCATCGGTTGGCTGGGTAGTGCCTAATTTAACAACATAATGAAACATTTCCTTTCTTCTTCTTGATTGGCGGGTGGGTAAAATGTTTGGTATGCATCACCGCCACCACCTTTCCTTTCTGAAATAGTAGTTTCTATGTAGGTAGAAAGTGTAACTGTAAACAAGGAGCTAGCAGAAGCTCACCATGATGTTAACGTCCAGCTGCACCTGATGACGCAATGTAAACACAGAGGCGGAGTCTTAATCAGGCTGAAGTCCGCATCAATCTTGTAGTGTCAAGACCAAAACTTTACTAAGGGGCTATTCCGCTGCATTTAATACTGAAATACAAAGAACTGGATTGTTTTGAATTGAGTACAGGCTCTGTACAAACCTTTATTTATTTTTGTGAAAACTCAAAAACTAGACATTTCAATGTTTTTGTTTTCCCAAATTGGGAAAAAAAGGTATTTCGTAAATAACATACTATTTAATATGTAATAAGTATAAAATACTATATATTTTCTCTTTTTTTAACCATTCTAAAAGAGTTTGAACTAGATCGGATAAAGCGGAATAGTCCTTTATTCAAGTTTGAATATGATGCCAACTTCATCGTCTCAGAGAAGCCGCTTTCTGAAGCGGTACTACTAGACGACTTCCTGGTGCCTGGGAATTAGAAGTTTAATATCTTCCTAATTTATCTACTGTTGTGTTTCTTTGAACCACCGCGAGGCTCATATAGCAGCTCGACGCCATAAACGGTGTGAATACGAAAGCGGAAGAAGTGTTTGGCTAAAGTAGTTAGCTGCGGGTCGGTTCGCTCCCTTCTCGCCGTCATGCCTTGAGTTCCCCGAGATTACGCTGCGTGAACGAGAACACTCAGAAGTAGGTTCTGCGGGTTCGCTCAGAGAACACGTCGGAGAACCGAAGAGAGCCGGACTACCCAGTGCGGGGGCTGGTGTGTTAACTGTACCGAACCGGCTCCACTCCCCGAGGCTCCCCGATGAGATTAGTGGGGATGTGCCACTGAGAAATGCTCGTAAAACTAAGCCGCTGTCAAAGCCTCTGAGGGAGACTTCTCAAGCCGGTGCCAAATATCATCCGTGTCAGGCTGCTGAAATGCTGACTGGTAACAGGTAACGGAATGAGTGTCGTCATTTACTGCATTTTATTGAGATGTTATAGTTTCCTCTGGGTCTTATTAAAGACAGTGTGTTCAGATGTGGAACATATGAGTGTGTGGCTCTATTTTTGGTTCTTCTTCCTGCCTCCCCCTTCCCTGCAGTTCCTCCTGTCACACACTCTTGTCCGGTTTCTGCACAGGAAGCGACACCGTAGCGGTGACAGCGCTGAAGACCAGCAGCTGAACCCTCAGGCCAAGAGGTCAGGAGGGGGTCCCTGCCTGCTGGTGTCGGACCTGGACTCGGAGGTTAGCTCTGTGCTTCAAAGGTTCCCTCTCATTCTGCAGCGCATTGCAGAAAGTATTGTTACCATTTTAGTTTTTCCATATTTCGCGAAGGATGCATGATTTTCACAGATAAGTCTGAATTTATATTCAGCCAGCGTCAGTCAATATTTTAAACCAAGAGTGTTCAAAGTGGGGCCCGGGGCCATTCAAGAATAAATTAAATAAATTAGGACAAAAAACTTAAATTCAAATCGTCTTACAAAAATGTTACACTCAATACAAATTTAACATCATCTCCAAGTTCTCTGGTTTCATGGTAACTTCTACTCACTGACTTTACTCTAAAATCCACCTTGGTGCTGTCAAAGCTGCTTCTATAAAATTATTAAAACTTGGTTAAATACAATAAGTGTTTTCAAGAGAAGCATGACCTAGATCCAGATTTTGCTCACTATGAACAAAGTATTTGTTCATTTTTCTTCAGCTGAGCCCAGAATGATGAGCAAATTGCCTTTCATGGAAAACATTCAAAAATCTGAGGTTTTGGATTTATGATCCCATTCCTATGTACTTTTATTTATTTCCTTTAAATAGTTCATACTTGGTTTGTTGAGAAGGAAAAATAAAATGGCAGCAACACTTTGAGTGATAATTAGTTTGTAGATCCGAAAGTACAATTTTGAAGAACCCCATTTTACCTGTTGTTGGCGATTGTTCTCTGTTTTGGACAATATCACTTTATCAAGTCTTTTCAAACGTTCCAGACTACAAAATAAGTAGTTAAAGTATGTATGATTCGTGCTGATATTGTATGGGTATTGGCCATTGCTTAAAATTGGAACATCGGTATCGCATCGGAAGTGAAAACATTTCATCAGGACAGCCCAACTTAGACCAATGCTTGCTAAGTTGTCAGATTTTTTGGACTAAAAACATTGAAAACCATTTATCGTCTTCCTTCCATTTCACAAATATTCATAATTTTTTATGTTCATCACATAAAATCCCAATGAAATGCATTTAATCATGGTTTTAAGATGATGTTTGAATACTTTATCACTGTAAATGTAATAAATTTCCTTGGCAGTAGAAACGGTGGACATTTAGAGTGTGTGATACACATATAGTTCTGCTTCTCTCAGGAACTGCACCACTCTCTGATAGAGCTGAGAATATTTTATTTAAAGCCCCGCATCTCCTCCTGCTCTCCCTCCTCTCTGTATGCATCTGCAGTCCTCCAGCAGCGACAGCAGCAACGGAACCAGCAGTCCAGAAAGGGCAGCTGAGGCCAGCGCCGGGCCGAGCGCGCGCCACCAGAAGAACTGCGGCAGACCGGAGCACGAAGACTCGGCTGGCTCCTGGCAGCGCCGTCTCCATGGCCACGGGCAGAGCGCCTCCTACGACCACATCAACAGAGTCCTGCGGGAGGCGCACTTCAGCAGCCTGCAGACCAGAGGGTGGCTGGGCTCGACGTGACCTTTGACCTCTTCTGTTGTCTTATTTAGTGCTGAAACCTTTGACGCTGTCACAGCATCCTGTCGCAGGGTGTCGGGGGTGGAGTCTGGTGTGTGTGTGTGTGCGTGCGTGCATGTGTGTGTGTCGTGTGTGGGAGGTTTAGCAGAGCCGCTCAGCTCGTCTTATCATTGGTTGAGACCATAAGCACATCTACGGCAGCGTATTAGTATCGTAATTAGAAAAAAATTTTTAGATTAATCTCAAATTTTGTTTCTTTTAGAATAAAACAAGTAAATTTCTGATTTTGGAAAGTCGAAAATTTGCTAGAAAAATCTCAGAAATTTTGAGGGTAATCTCAGAAACTTGGAAGTTTTCAGTTTCAAAAATCGAAAACTTTCAACTTTTGAAACTCAGAAATGGCCCTGATAACGACGTCGTACACATCCGCCTTTCCATGGCCTGGCCACTGTGTCTTTTTTTTTTTCTCGTGTTGTGTTGATGTGTGTGTGTGTGTGTGTGTACGCACCCTGTGCACTTTATCAAGAAGTATCATTCTTTTTACATGTGTGCGTTGGTGCATGGACATTCTTCATTGGTGCTAATAACAGAAGTGTGACGATAATCCAAGGTGCTTGTGAACTGAAATAAAGGTATTATGCACTTTACTCCAGTTGGCTGCATGTTTCTAAATAGGAAGCTGGTCATTTTCAAAAATGAATGGCTGGTGACATTTTCATGGCATAATTTAATAACAGCATGGTATTGACATGCATAATGTGATCTAAAAGTGTTTATTTAAAACAAAAAATGTTGGTAAAATAACATTGAAAATTGGTTTAATATTACATTTTAATACAGACTAAAGGAAAATACACATTGTTTTATGCTAACGTCAAGGATACATATGTCAGTAAAATGTTTTAGTCCCCATAACATTTGCATAATCACAGCACAAGCGTGCTGCTTTATCACAGCACAGGAGGCTTTTCCAGCACATCTTTAATAAACAACACAAAATAGTTTACCCACAACATAAAGATATTACGAAGGCCTCACGAGGTTTCCCTTTTCACCCAAAACTTTTTTCTTTCTCCTGTGTCACCAATAGATGTCACTAAAACGAAGCTGTGATTGAATGAAGCCTTCCCACGCTGTGAAGTGGAAGAATCTTTTCATTGTGTTGATTTTGATTGTTTTTTTCTATAAATTCACCTTTGCTTAATTCTTTATTCAGACGTTTTAAATCTGAAGGAAGGATTGGAGGATTTCTTTTCCAGCTGATTAACAACAATCAGCTAGAAAAGAAACTGAAATATTTCCTTCCAACTTCTTCAACTGTTGTTCTAAATTGGTTTATTTCACAAGACTGCAATGGAAGCACTTTTTTTCCCTCTCATCACACTAGTCACATTCTTTTTACATGCGCCGGATGTTGCCGCAGGTGCAAATCACGAAGAAGACGACAGGAAGTGGTAGGAGGATGTTCCCAGGAATGACTACTTTGTTCAACTTGAAGTTATTCTTAAATCTTTTTATGGATAAAATGATTCTGTGCCTTTTCTCTGTCTTTTTTATCTGCTCACATGCACATGGCTGCACATAACCACAACATACAAGTACACCAGTCTACACAATCCAAACGTCAGAGAACTTTTGGTTTTAAAGGCATACATTTTTAAACCTTGAATGTAGGGAAGTACAACATGCCATGCTAAGCTAACTGTTCAGCTAAAACCTCACTTCAAATTTGATGTGATGTTTTGGTATTTGACACAAGAGCGCACACAATTATTTAAAGCAGCCTGAAAGAACTTTAATTCATGCATCATGGGTAATTTTTTATGCATTCCTCTTAAATATTTAAGTTAAGAGTTCAACTTGAGCAGCAATAAATAAGCACTGAATCGGTTGTGCTGTAACTAAAGTACAGCATGTTTTATTGTTCAGCAGCATGGCTTGTATTCACTGAAGCAGTTTATTTTCACATAAAGTTGTACTGCACTTTACTGTAGTCTGTAAATGTAACGTGACATTTGAAGAGACTGCAGATGCTTCAAACACTTGTCCCATCACAGGTTCAAAACCTCAAATATGAAAAATAATCCATTCAATTTTAAATCATGCACATTACAACCTTTCAACTACAATTACCCAGACATTTTCCTCATGTAAAGAAAAATTCACACCCACATAACAGCTTAGTAACAAAACATATGGAAGACTAATTTCATTCCAAGGTTTGAGGTTAAAAGAAAAGCATCTGTAGTGCAAATCACAAATAGGGGGTTCCCTTAAAGGTTCACAACATGCACCAGAGGTGTTGGTCGTTACTTCAAAAGAAAAAAAAAAAAGAATCCTGAGATAAAGCAACCATGAGCTGTAAAACAATCTTTGTTCTCTGAATCTCTGAT